CTAATTACTAAACCCTAAACCCCTAAACCCTAAACCCTACATGTCTGTAGCATGCAAGATAAATCATGGGTTTCATCAACCCAGCACCCTCCTTATCCCCTGGCCCAGAGGCTTAAGAGCCCAACGCCTCAGTGCTCAAACCAAACTCCAGACCCGTAAACCCTAAACCCTTGCGCCCTGAACCCATGAACCTCTTCAAGCCGTATGACACCCTAAATCCAAAAACTCTTAAACCCCACGCCCTGAAGGCCTAGAGCCCTTAACCCTAAACCCTAAACCCCTAAACCCTATACCCTAAACCCTAAACCCTAAACCCTTACAGCCCTTGAGCCGTAACGGAGACCAAAGGCCTGGATCACGAACCTTGCAGGCGGGCGCGGCTCACATATTAGCTACCCATAGGCCCCATAGTAGTTCCTTTTGGGGGTTCATATTTAGAATCCTATAAGGTAGTCCCAAAAAGGAACTACTATGGGGCCTATGGGTACGTTTGATATTACGGTCTGGGGTTTAGGGTTTGTATGGGCGGTTTAGTTGTTTCTCTATACATTGGGGATTTGTCCGTTGGGTTTATAGAGGTTTGAGGAGTTTATGTCAGGGCTTGTGGGTTTAGGGTTTGGATGAGCGTATACAGGGCTGCTGAGAATTCTTGGTGAGTGCATATCTGGGTTCGTATTATGAGATATGTACTATAAATTAAATGCTGAGCTCTGCATTTTTTTGTGGCCCTAAACCCTAAACCCTTAACCGTCTCTTGTTGGCTTTGGAGCTTTAGCCGGCGCCTCAACTACGAGTAGGGTTTCTGTGAAGGTTTAAAAATTCGAGGGCTTGAAGTTGTCAGGTTTCAGGGTGTAGTTGTTTCTTTTGCTTCTTGAGGCAAGGTCTTCCAGTAAGCCGAGAGGGCCAAGATGCAGAAAAGGACCTCAAATCATGTAGGGGCCTTAGTAATTAGAATAGGATTGTGGGGCCCCTTATACTATACTTATAATAGTGACACCCCCTTAAAACAGTGTGGGTATTCATTTAGGCCCCTACACTATTCCCGATAAGCCGGCTTCGGGTTCGCAGTTCGCTTTGCGATGTTTGCTTGGTTTGGCATGTAGGATTTAGGGTTTGCATCAGGGTTTAGGGTTTCGGGGGTTTGGGGGTTGAGGGTTTAGGGTTGGAAGATTACGTGGCGATGTCTGTCGCTGATGCAGAGAGCACGGCGATTTCTGCATCGTAGAGCCCAAAGCTTTATTGTATTCGCAGGCCCGTATACTTGCAGGATCGAGGACCCCTACCGGAGCTCCTCAGTTTCTGGGCTTGGGGTTTAGTTCACTTAGGGTCGCGCCGATGAGGAATCTGGGATTTGTATTTGATGCATGCGCACCTTGAGCCTGGGCCTGGGGCTATCACAGGGACTGGGAAGTCTAATTAAACTTCGAGTAGGAAGGAATTAGGTTTAGTTAAGGGCTTAGTAGATTGATATGGATTAATATACGAAGCCTTCGCTTGGCATTCTAGATCGCGTAAAACGATCATGTCACCATATGTCACCCTTATAGGAACTGTATCAACACTAGGACCTTAAAAGCTCCGCAAGCTTGAGCATCCCACCGTCCGCTGCAGGAGACAAGGCAGCTGCCGTCCATTTGGACATCGGTACCCAAGGCAGTGCCTTATTATAATTATAGTATTTTCCCCAAACCCTATTCTAATTATAAGGCTTCTACATTTCGAGATCGGCCAGTTTTGCCATGGGTGCCTCGTTCAATTGTAAAGTACGGCAGCACAGCTGCAATGTTGAGGTGCTTCCGTCAGGCATGATCCCACAACCAGCTTATCTTCAGTTGCCGTGACCAGGCGATACCCAGACCTCCGCAACAAAGCACAACACCGGCTGCCGAAGCCCCAAAAACTGGAACGCCACAACCCCTCAAGTCCCAAAGCCTAATAGGACCTGAACGCCTAAGCCCTAAGCTCTGAAAGTCTAACAGTTACTTGGCAGAGAGAAAAGGGCGAAAAACAAACACTAAAAGAACAGCCCAATAAGAAGGCCTAGACCCTAAAAAGTCCAGGACACCAAACCACTACGTACACAGCACTGTACAGGGAGCCTCAAAACCCAATAAACCCTTATGTTATGGCCTTATGCCCTATACCCCGTGATTCACGGCCCTTTACCCTATACCCATGAAGTGATAGAAAATGGCTCCATACCCTAGGCCCCAAACCCCAAACCACCGAAGCTGGGGAGAAAAGGGTCGTCAAAAAATGAATTGACAAACTCAAACCCTAAGCCCTCATCTCTAAACCCTAGCCCTAATCAAATTAACCCTAAAACCTACACCCCAAACCCGAAACAGCCCTAAACCTCAAGCCTTAAACTTTGAACCCTCAACCGAAACCTCGAGTCCAAAAAGAGCTGAGCAGGCCGATGTCTTTGAGGCCCTCGAAGGGCTCCTCGCCGAGCACACTCCTTTAAAAGGGCCTACATGGGGTTTAGGGTTGAGGGTTTAGGGTTTAGGTAAAAGGGCCTACATGGGATTTAGGGTTTAGAGTTTAGGGGTTAGGGTCTGTTGTGGAGGTTCTTTATGGTAATGTTAGTATAATAGACCCCAACACCCTATTCTAATGATTAAGGCCCCTACACTCCTTGCTTAGGGCTTCGGGCTTCTAAGGGATCTTCGAGGGCTCTGTGAGGGATCTATAGGGTTTAGGGTTTTGGTGGTTTACGGATTCAGGGGATTTCGGGTTCAGGGTCTAGGGGGTTTCGGGGTTCAGGGTTTGGGGCTTGCGAAAGCCGACAGGAAAACCGTGCAGAACCCTATACAAGCCTTAAGAACATGTTCTTTTAAGACAACCTTTATAAAGGCCTCAGGCGAAGTCTCTGTCCTGGTGTTGTACATGTTCTATTATGAATGTTGGAAGGTTCCAGAAAGATCCCATACGAGTTTGATGATGTTTAACGGCTTACAGCTTGAGGGTATTAGGTTGCAGGCCGTCAGGGGTTAACATTTCATAGGCTGTAACATGATATAACGTACACCCTAGCCTCAACTCTGAAACATTCTTTTACCGTATAGTGTAGGAGAGCAGATGGGAAGCTAGTTCACGGTGCAGGGCGGCCTTAAAGCTTGCTTCGCCTAGATGAAAGGCCTTATAGAAAACCTTACACAAGGCTTATGGCCTCTCATCTCAATAGACATTATAAATTCCAGGACATTAGGAGACCTAACGTAGGGCACTTATGACTGTAATTACACCTTGTATCTGCTCTCAAACTCGTGCGTATGCACCCCAGGTATCGCTCCTTCAACGATCTGAAGACTCCGCGGAGGCTGAGCTGTGAGCATGGCTTCCGGGTCTGTGTTGTGTGTTGTTTTTTGTTGAGGGGTGTCCAGAGGGTGTGTTCGAAACTAGCCGCTAGCCCAAGCATGCTAATGTAGAAGATTCCTTGATGGGTGATGTGGTGAGAATGATGATGACAATGATCATGGTAACGCTGATCACCAAGCTGACGATGTCGACGGCGGCCATGTTCAGGATGATGATGACGAGGATATTCTACTGCTGACGACAACTATGCGATGAGGTGGCTATGATGATGGTGCTGGGGGCAATGTTGCTACGTTGAGATGTTGCGATGATGGTGTTGGTGAAGGTGATGTTTGTCATGATAGGGCAGATCTTAGGGTTTAGGGTTTAGGGTCCGGGCAGATAATGATGAAGTTATTGAGACGGGATGAAGAAGTGGGCTGGAATTTCGAGGCAGTGGAGGACGCTCAGCATTGCTGGACCCACATTCTGCTTGCGCTTCGTGCCACTTCCTATTTTTGGCAGGGGCTGTTAACCCTGTGCCAGCTGGGTGGTTGTCAAAATTAGGGTCCCTTTTTGGGTTCTTATTATAATACGGCACCTATTATTTAGGGTACCCCAAAAGGGACCATAATTTTGACAACTACCCAGCTGCTGTCTGCAGCAGGCCTTTATCGACTGCGCGCAATACGCCCATGCCTCAGATTGCAAGGCTGCAAGACGGCTTTGGCCCGCAGCATCCCGCAGCCCCAAGCCAACACTTCATATCCACAAGGTAGCTTGCTGGGTTAAGGTGGCTGGGTCAGGGAGTCATAGTTTGGGGAACCCGGGAGAAGCGATTTCACTCGCAACTTGAACCCGCTGACGCTTTGCATGATTTCAACCCATTCCTCGCGGCTGGCTTCACTCATGTGATCGACCCTATATAAGCCCTAAACCCTAAACCCTTTTTTCACGAGCTGGAGCGCCTGATGTGCAACACTGGGCACAGCCTCAACCCGAGCACCAGCCTCGATCTCCGCGCACCTTCAACCTAAACCCTAGCTCTATCCCTAAGCCTATATCCTAAAGCCTAAGCTGGAGCCAAATGTCATGTCCTCGACCTCAAAACCCCACACCCGAAGGCCTGACTTCCCATCCTGACCTTCCAGGAAGGGTGGTGTTGCATGGAAAGATCCGCATCCCCAGCATCGAGCTCGGTCTTACCGGGCTAAGGAACGCTGCTCCCATCATTGTCCTTGAGTGGGGTTAGTAAGGACCTTAGTATTTGGGATGGGTAGGAGCTCTTTTTTGTTGAAGGTTTTACGCCTTTTAGCATTTACAGGCGTGAGGTTGGACGGTTTGGGGATGGTTTAGGACTCCTTAGTATCCTTGGCATGGG